TCATCTGTATGAAACTAAAGAATAGTCAATACAATAAATAAAAACAGTTGCTCTAGAACAGTGGTTGCCTGGGGTGCTATTAGAAAAAGATTTGGAGATGGTGTTTATACTCAGTAATAAATAAATGTTGCATTTGATTAGTGATACCTTTGATGAATATGGGCAGTATCTTGTATGCATGGATTGCTTTTCTCTGTTTTATAGGGGAGGGAAAGGAATAGCAGACAGATCTAGCCCAGGGTTAAACCTTTTAGCATCTCTCCTTCTCATTTTATTTCTGTTCACATTCTGTTCACATACCTTATATTTGTTTGTCTGTTTCCTCCTTCCATTATCACTGCCACTCTTACATTTTTGATCTTCATTAAAAGAAGTATTTATAGATTTCTAGATTGTGTTCCTTCTGCTGGTGCTTACAGTTTTGATAGGAGCAGGGGTCATGGGCTCCCCTGAAAGCCATGTGAAAGCTAGGTGCCATCTCTCAGAAAACCAAATACTTACACAAACACCTGCCAGTTTGTTCAGAAGGGTTGTGAATTCTCTGAGGTCTGTACTTAATTAAAAACCCTTAGTCTAGTTGTCACCCTCCAATCTACATCCCTCCAGTGTCTATCAGAGTAATGTTCCTAATGCACAATTTGGATCGTGTAACTCTCTGCTCAGAACCATCTCATTTCCTGCTGTCCTCGGAACAGAAGTCCAGTCTGACTGGAATCCAGACTCCTTCACGCTCTCACTTTTATAGGCCCATTATCCTCTCCACACCCCTGCCTCCTCCTCCCAAATACACAACCTTCTAAGGCGAAACAGTACACCTGCTATTTCTCACAATACTGCCTGCACTTTGCTTCCACAGTTGCTGCTACCTGAACCTCCTCTCCCTCACTTTTTATCTGTTAAAGCCCTTTCTAACCTTTAAGCACAGTCTTTCTGAGTCTAGTATTCTCAGATGTAGCCCTCAGCACTGAGTAACACTTTGTATAGTGTCTTGCACATTGTGGTGATAAATTTCCCCTTTGCCCTCAGATCCTTCCATTGAATCACTGAGAGCCTTGCCCCTGTGGGTTGTGCTGTCCTGGTCCCTGAGTCCAGCTGGCCTCCATTTGGGTTCAAGCCCTGGAAAGTCCACAGGGAAATGGAAGACTGAGGAAAGAGAGAAGTCAGGGTATTTCTTCTCCACACTCCCTGCTTCACACAATATCTTAGATAAAGATCATGTCTCTCCTCTAGGGCTTCAGCTCCAATGAGAGAGGCCCTTCGAGCTTCTGCTGGGTGACCTTGGCCCCAGGACCCCAGTATTGATACTCCTTTTTGCCCTGTAGCTCAAGGATTTGCTGCAATTATTCAGCTCCTCGATGCCTCATTCTCCCGTTGGCCTTTACATCTTTCCCTTCACCTGCATGGTGAATTTCCTACATTGTAGCCCTTCTGTTTAAATGCCTAGACCAACTTATATTTTCCCAGTTGAACCTTGAGTGATACAGCTCATTTGGTGGATATTTGCTGGATTCTATTACCTAATTTTAAACCATCTTCCAGGTGGGGATTTTGGGGTTTTTTTGTTTTGTTTTGTTTTGTTTTAGTGAACCAGATGTATGCCCTGTATCAGTTATCTAGTACATAGTAGCATTGAATAGGGTTACTTGGGGTAGTAACAAATTATCTCAAAACTCAATAATTAGACAAAACTGGTGTTTATAAGTTCAAGAGTCTCAGGGTTGGTGGGGTGGATTTTTCAACCTCCTTCCTATGTGTTAGCTGTGGGTCAGCTGGGTGGCTCTGCTCATCTTGCCTAGCTGTCACACTTATACGGCCTGACTAGTCTAGGCTGATCCAGGATAGCCTTGGCAGAGACCACTGACGTGAGTCAACTTCATTCCATGTTTCTCAACCGTGACAGGCTAGGTGAAGCATCTTCTCATAACAATCACAGAGGCGCAAGAAAAAAACACATAAGCGCAGCAAGAACTTTTTCAGACTTCTACAAACAGCATACCTGCTAACATTCCATTGGCCAAAGCAAGCCACATGACTAAAACCAGAATCAAAGGGGACAGTAAACTAGATTTTACTAAAAAGGCTGTTCTTTAGTGCAAATTTACATGACCAAACAGTAGGTACAGGGAGGGATGAAGAATGTAGGCCATAATGCAATATAGTCTATCTCGGACTTCAGACTGAGTCAAAAGAGATAGATAAGTAGACGACAGATGACATTTTTTTTTCTGCCATATTAACCCTTTTAAAACAACTTTGTAATAAAATACACATGATGTATTTGCTCATTTGTTGGGTACGTTTGTACATAGTTACTGACTAAAAAAGAGATTGACCAAGTAAAGAACCATTTATAAATAACGTATTAATAAACCAAGTTAAAAGAACTTTATTTATCCTTTAACCTTCAATTTGCATTAATTAGGAACAGTCACGGGAAATTGTGCCAACTTCACCTCAGGTCAGATGGCTCAACAAAATGAACTGTTTCATGCCTAGAAATAAATATATTCCAAATATAAATACGAATCAGTTACAAAACAGATTCTTTTGAAAGCACAAAATAACCACACTGTTAATATATTTGTGCCCCAATGAAAAATGTGTAAATAGCACACATTCTAGGCTAAAGTTGTCCCAGGGAGTGATCCTCATTTTTGCTTGGATCTCATGTAAACACAACTGCGCAGACTCCTTTGAACCATGAGCAAATCCATGGCCCCCAGTTTTCTAAAGAGAAGAAGAATTAAAAATGGGCATGTTTGAGTTGGAAGGGTCTGGGGCTTAACCTTGCTACTTGAAATTTCCTTCTTCGCTAAGGAATCACTTTGAATTTCTCTGGTTGGTGTACTCTAATTTGGTTTGATCTTGGTTTGAGACACACATTGAAAGAGATACTATCTGTTGGGTTTATGGCAAAACTAGGAAGCACCCTCAGTCACACTGTTTTTCAATTTCCCCTCTGAAGTTTTATCTTAAAATCTGGGCCTGTTCTTAGTAACTCAGAATGAGGCCCATGACATCTTACTACTGGGATGAGATTGCTAGCTGGCCTTTTCTTTACTGTTTGGCTTTGGGCAAAAATGTTAAACCTTCCTGTGCCTCTTCTTGCCTCATCTGATAAATGATCGTATGACCATTGTGAGGATTAAACTAAGTAAAAACATTAGCACACCCAGCCCACAAAATGTTCTTAATATAGGTTATGTATAAAATGCGTATTATTATGAATCATTATGTGAGAATTTTTAGATTGTTTTCAGTGAGTCAGGTTCACATAGATTCTTCAAAATACAAATCAGACTTATACCCTCAAAAAATAAATGGGGTCCAGTATTTTCATACAAAAGGCACAGTTAGTTTTTAAATATCAATGTCAAGGATAGTGGTGTATAGTTATTTATACTCACCATAAAGCCACAAAGACAGTTACAAACACTAGCTTCTTCCTGTGCTTGTCCATTTATTCTTTGAGAACTCTTTTAGAATAGGCTTCTTAAAAATGTCTTGGTCTTCAGCCTCGTGCTATCAGATTCTCTGATGTTCTAGAAAACAGTGAGGTGATGTTGATGGCTGGAGATTTAAAGTCTGTTACAAGAGCAGTGGCCAGAGACCGATAAAAGCAGACAAATACAACTCCAAAGTCTTCCATCGTGTTGTTTTAAAAGGGAAGAAAATGAATAAAAACAAATCTGTTTTTCCTTTTAACACCCTGAGTGTCCCTTCTGCATGGAGTCACGGAGTAAAAGAGCCACTGTGAAAACAAGACACAACAGCATCCTGAGGACCTCAGAGTCCACCACAGCGGAAACACACATCCGCACATGCCTGTGCACACCCACACACACCCAACAATCACTTTAATGATATAACAAGGGCTTTTATGGTGCTATAATGTTGGGTGTTGAGTGAAAAGACAATGACTGAGCATATGTTCATCCAACATGGCAGCTACAAGGAATGTGACAGACCAACACGGTTAGTTCTCACACAGACGACGTTGAGTCAAAAATGGAGAACATTAGATATCCATCCAGAGACTCATGTCGTAGAGATCAATTTGAAATGCACAAACACCGTTCATTGTCTTGGATGCACATATTGTATATATATGTAAAAAAAAAAAAGTGGACTAGGAAAAGACAAACAAATTCATGGTCTGGCCAAAGAGCGGAGTTGTCAAGATTACACCTATGCTCTCTATTTTTTAATTAAAAAAAAAAAAACAGTTATTACAAAATTTACCAATGGTCCCCCCCAAGGCAGCAGGAATGCAGACATCAGCTCTGCTAAACTCTGTTTTTCTGAGTTCTAAGTTCCCCACAACAACCACAGGAATTGTGGGACTCTAGTTAACTGAAAAGCAACTTCTCGCTTGCTTTTTACACAGATACTCCGAGCGGTCCTCTGCTGAACAGGTAGTTGCCCCCGTGCATTTGGCTCTCTCTTTCATCTGTTTACACGTGTGAGCTGTGTCTCCAGCATAATCACACTGAACACAATCTAGACAGCTCCATAGTTCCAAGCCCCGCTACATCCCCTGATGAACACCTGTCCTTTCACCACAGGTGGGGGATGCTACTGCTGGTTGAGACTGATCCTAGGAACTGTCCTCTGAGGCCAGCCATACCTTCTTTAGCACAAAATCTCTACACTGTTTAAGATTTACATTTGCCTTATAACCATCTTCCCAAAATTCCCGCATCTTGCCCACAGCAAAGTAGATCTTTGGGATCCACAAATGTTGTCCTATGCCTATAATGTCTTATTTACACTTCTGTGTTCAAGTTCCTTTCTCTGAAACCATCACCCCTCTGGAATGAGATTTTTATCTCAGTCTATTTGCATGTATTCAGAATCAGAGACCGCTCTGAAACCAGACCCTATTTAAACATAGAAAGAAGAGCAGTTGCAGATTAAATAAATGTTGGGGAACTTAAAAAAAGTAAAGAAAAACAAAAACAAACACTTCTATTTACCTTCTTGTGTTTCCTTTTTTCCAGATCTGCGGTTTCCCTCCCGTTGGCCGTCCTGTGAGGGTGCCAGCTTCTGCGCATGATTTAATGGATCAGAAGGTCAGATATCAGGCTTGACTTGGCTGTTCGCAGATTCATGATTTTTGTGATTAATTGTCACTTTTTAGCATGAGGGGAATTACCTGCTAATTTGTGGCATTGCTGCTCTTATTACTTAACATAGTTTTGACATCTGCAGACATTCCGGAGGAATATAAAACATTAAATGGGCTGGAAAAACATAATGGAGAAAAGGAAGTCTGCAAGAATTAATTTGGGGCGAGAAAGGTAATAATTGGACAACGAGAGAGAGGAGCTGTATTTCACTTGTTATGTGGGGAAGTTGTGCTCAAGGAAGATTGAGCAGCCCTCTCCAACTGCCTTTTCCTTGTGTGCTTAAAAAAAAAAAAAGGTGTCAGGAGTAGCTAATCGGTGGGTTATAGGTTAGAGCGGTGGGATAGGGCTCGGCACCTGCGCAGTGCCCATTCCCTTGTTTCCTGGACAAGCCCTCAATTCTCCCTCTGGTCCCCAGATGTTTGGTAATGTCAAGCAGCCTGTTTGGAAGGCTAGGTTATAATTTGGAACCCAGTTTGTTTACATTATTATAACAAGAGTTTCAGTTTGTCTCTGCAGCAAAGATTATGTCAGCACTTTCCTTTCTGTGTTTATTATTTTTAGCAGTTTAAAAGCTAACCGTGAAAAATGGCTTTCTGGCTGTCAGGTGACGTTCCGGCTGAGCCAGGGTCTGGTGGAGTCTATAGAAATGCTCCCGGGCTGTGAGAGTGGGTCTTTTGAATGCTGTCTTTGTGCCTCCCCTTGCCCAGGGCCTCTGGCTTATTGTCTGGGCGCCTCAGTTGGGGTGATGCTATCTGATGGTAACCACAGCTAGTATTACAGTGCTCAGTGCCCTGGCCCTCCCTGGGGGCCCCCAGTCTGGCTGCCTCTGTCTCCCAGCCCTCCCTCAAGGGAACTATTCAAAGCTCTCATATCAGAAAGCACTATTTGCAATTTATAGAATGTTCGAGGGAAAAGTATCAGTAAGGATCACCTGGGCCTGCAGGTCTCTAACATTTTTTTTTTTTTTAAACAAAGAACCTTCTCCCAAATGAAATCTCCTAGAGAACCCCAATTTGCAAGACACAGAAAAGTACAGCTGTTCTGTTTGAAGGGAAGGAGCGTTGTCACAAAGCCCACCCTTCAGCCTCCATCTTCACCCATCCCAATCAAATTGACTCCTCAGGCCCCCCTCATCGCTCCCAGGAGACCTCGTGACTCCTCAGTGGAAGGAGTGGAAAGGCAACCCCTTCCACTTACAGATAAGGAAACTAAGAGGTAATTTTTAACAGGCTTCAAACATGAGACATTAGATACTAAGCCACAGAGAAGTGCACCGTGTACTAATCCATTTTCATACAGCTCTAGAAAAGACAAAACTCATCTATGATGATAGAAATCAAAATAGTGGTTACCTGGAGGAAAAGACGGGAGTGCCTGGGAAGGGGCATAAGGGAATCTTCTAGAGCGATCGAAATGCAGAACTTTATAGAAGTGCAGGCTACACAGCATTTGTCAAAACCCCTCTGTGCTTTGTACTGTCTATAAAGTATACCTTCATCAAAATATAAAAACAAAGAGGGAAAATAAGGCAACAGATAAATGAATTCGGCATTGGATACATAGAAATACTTATGAGCTTCCTTAAATATTGAAAATACTAATGAACTTCCTTAAAGTTATGTGGATTATTTAGTGAGTGGGCTCTAAGATCATTAGGCAGTTTTGGAGGACAGGAGACTGTGCTCCTTTTCAGGAATTTTCTTTGTTCAATAATCACTAAAGCCAGGACAGGGGGAAAGTTCTCAGAGAATACCAGACAGTGGGACCACAGACTGCCTTTTGGGGTCTTCTAGACTGTGATATGGCTAAAGGTGATATGTGGGCAGTCACATCATGGAAATCTTGAGCACAGTACTTGGTGAGTGAATTGATTTCACATGTACCGTCAATGTATCAATAATGTTCCAGAAAGACTTCAGAATTTGTGAATCCTTTGCTCCCTCATCTCAGTGTTTTTCCATCACCTATGAAAGGCAGGATTCCCTTTCCCATACCTTAGTGGAGTGGAACTTCTGGTGACTGAGATTGGGATTCGGGCCTCCAGAGACACCTGTGGAATAGGGCTATTTCAGGTTTGGTCTTTCTGCTTTGAGCATGTGTGTCAAGGACTCTCAAACAATTGGCTTTGTACCTGTACCTTTGCCGTAGGCACTTTGACCCTTAAAAAAATAATTTTTTTCCCTGAAATATTTTGCACCAACCCTACTTAAATTTTTTTATTTGTATGTCTTAGAATTCCGGCAGTAACAGGAAAGGTAATTGTTTGGGTTGAAGTGCAGCTAAGGACATAGGCCGGCCTGATGGAACCCAGCAGCCAACTCTGCATTTAGAGCCTGATGAGAACACTAAGCAGGCAGAAGGAAGGGAAATGGTTCGGTTTGGTTTCTTTTTTAGTATTCATTTTTAATGATTTTAAGGTTTTTTAAATTTAAATTCCATTTAATTAACATACACTTTATTATTAGTTTCAGAAGTAGAATTTAGTGATTCATCAGCTACATACATACAATACTCAGTGCTCATTCCATCAACTGCCATCCTAAATGCCCATCACCCAGTTACCCCATCCCCCCACCTACTACCCTTCCAGCAACCCTCAGTCTGTTTCCTACAGTTAAGAGCTCTTAAGGTTTGCCTCCCTCGCTGTTTTCATCTTATTTTATTTTTCCTTCCCTTGTCCTATGTTCACCTGTTTTGTTTCTTAAATTCCACATACGGGAGAGCCTGGGTGGCTCAGTCAGTTGGTCAGCTGCCTCCAGTTCAGGACATGATCCCAGAATCCTGGGATGGAGCCCAGTGTCAGGCTCCCTGGTTCTCTCTCTCCCTCTGCACCATCCCACACAACCCCCCATCATAATAAATAAATAAATAAACAAACACACAAATAAATAAATAAATAAATCTATCTTTTTAAAAAAATTCCACAAATGAGTGCAATCATATGGTATTTGTCTTATAGTCAGAGAAAGTGTTTGGGGAGGTGGGAGGGGCAGAGGGAAAGGGGCTTCCAGAGCCTGAAGTGGAGCTCAATCTCAGGACCCTGAGATCATGACCTGAGCCAAAGTCAAGAGTCCAACTTTTTAACTGACTGAGCCACTCAGGTTCCTCAGAAAATGTTTTTGAAAAGGAAATGATGGCACTGTTCGGAAGGGTAAGAGAGGGTCACGTGAAGCTGGCACAGGAAGCATTTGAAGATACTCAAATGTTCCAGCCTTTGAGGCTATGCAGACAAACTCTCTACTACTTGAGTGATTTCCCAGCAAAGGGCCAAGGCCTATTTAATTCACAAGACTGATCCACATTAACAAAAATTTAGTTCACTAGTGAAGCCATGGCAAAAAAGAACCATGCATAAAAAATAACATTTTAAATAACCAGAACTTATTTTAACCCAGACATTCCAGGCTTTGCACATATAAATTTCCTAATTGAATCAAATTTAACTGAGCAAGATTTTTATTTAACCAATTTAATTTAATGTGCATAAGAGCAGAAATGAACTTACACGATCTAAGTGTTCGGGCAGAATGTGCTCTTTTTTTTTGCAATTTTATGCCCATTTGAAAGGAACTGTTTCTTCACGTCATTAAGAGTTAACTTGTCTAAATGGAAAATAGAAGACAGAAGTTGTGTGTCTTCTCCATCCCCGTGATTTGGGGAAAGTGATTCTCCTGCAGCCAACATTCTGAATATGCATACATGTATGTACGTATGCATTTATCTACAGGTCAAGCGGTCTTAGGACAATGCAACATGTATGTAGTCAGATTCTATTAATTCATGAGAATGAGGGTAAAAATTAATAATTGAAGTCCAATCTATTGATTTTTTTTCCCCATTGACTTCTAAAAATCAGCAATCTGAAACTTTAAACTAATTCAGCTCCTTATAAGGACTGTTAACTGGGACAATATCCTGATTTGAGTTTTACTCCCCTTTCCTTCCTTAACTATTTTTCCTACTGGTGCCATTGGGATAATAATGAAAAACAGAATGAAAGAAAAGTAACAGTTTAATGTGCATATTAATAATGATAATAATAATGATTACTATTATTATTATTATTATGGGTTCCCAGACGAGATAATTGAGGGTAAAATGAACAGAAACAATGCTTAAAGACATAATTGTCACAGGGGCAGGGCTGGACTTGAACTTAGGTCTTTCTATCTGTAAACCTCATCTTAAGAAGAAAGGCAATGGCTCAAAACTAATCAAAATATTACATTAACTGGAGCGGAGAAATAGCTACATTGGTGGAGAAAATAAGCTACTATCTGGAGGCTGCCCATAACAGAAAACCATAAATAATAGTGACAAACACTCAAAAGTATTTTTCTTTCCACAGCAGCAGGGAGTAGTTCTGTAATCATCAGGGACTCAGGTGCCTTCTATCTTTCTGTATTTCTATCCTTCATACATGACTTTATCCTTAAGGTTACCTCTTGATTGAATATGGCTGCTGGAGCTCTAGCCCTCACATATGAATTCCAGGCAGCAGAAAAGTTAGGAAGAGGAAAGTGAAAGGCACCCATCAATAGCTATGTTTTTTCCCTTTAGGAGTCATTACCAGAACTCCCACCCCACAACTTTTACCTATATTCTACCAATTCTTAATTATAAAGGAAGCTGGAAAATGTAGTTGGGTACTTTGCTACCCAGAAGTAAAGTGAAATTTGATTATAAAAGTATATCATGGAGGCACCTAGCAGACCAAGTCACACTTAGGCAAATATGAGAAGCTTTTCGGTTCCAGAGAAGAATGATCAGGGTGGTTCTTTAGAGGAAATGATCTTGTAGCCAACTCCATGATGGATGAAAGTGGAAGCAATAAATAGTAGCTTTGAGGGGTATCTGGGTAGCCCAGTTGGTTAAGCATCTGACTCTTGATTTCTGGCTCAGGTAATGATCTCAGGGTCATGAGCTGGAGCCCCACATCAGCC